TTACCTTCCGAGTATATATATATAAAAGAAAAAAAAAAAAAAAAAAAAAAGTAACATCACATTGTAGATCTAAACCCCCTCTCTTCCACCCTCCTCCCCAACCCCCCCGCTTTGTATTTCGTACACCTTAAACCTTACACCTTAAACCTTACACTTTACACTTTACACTTCACACTTCACACTTCACACTTCACAGCAGCAAAGCAACACATCGCATGCCACGCCAACACCACAGCTAGAGCGGCTCCCCGGGACTCGTCGTCACCGTCTTGTACGCGTTCGGAATCTTGGGCACCCGCGGACTCTTCGGCGGCTGGCTCATGTTCCGCGCCTCCGCCCTCAGGCCGTCCCTCATCCTCTCGCTCTCCCTCGAGCGGCGCCCCGTGAGACGCCGCACGCTGCTCCGCGTGCCGTGCGCCAGCGGCTTGATCATGCTCTCGAGGAAGAAGGAGCCTTCGCCCGGAGGGGCACCGCGCTCGTCTTCGCCGTCGGAGAAGACATCCTCCGCGTAGTCGTCGTCGGAGGTGTATGTCTGGGAGGAGGGCGCGGATGGGGACGTTACGGAGCGGGAGTGCAGGGACGGTCGGGTCGAGGGGGGCATAACGGAGAATGCCCCAGGTGTCATGGCGTTGGAGGAGGGTGGGGCCGGACGCGGCATATCTGTGAAACCGTTCTGGAAGGACGTGTTACTGGCCGTGCTGGCCAGGGATTGATGTAGAATCGGCAAAGTCTGCTCGTCATACAGCTGGGCCCCGGATTCAAAACCTTCAGATATTGCGTAGCCGGCTTCGGTAATGGTACGCGAGGAGCGGCCATCGCTGGTAGGGCTTTGCAGCGAGTCCTCGAAGAAGTCGTCCAGGGAGTCGAGTTTCATGACCAGGTCTCCGATATGCCCGTCGCCGCGGCCTTCGTCGGAGAGCATGGTCTCGGTACGCTCGGGGTTCGGGAAGTAATTGTACTGGAAGTCGTCGACGTGGAATTCGACGTCCGGCGTGGGTGCTGTCTCGGGGTCGATATTCTCTGCGTTTTGGCACATGTAGAAGACGGCGTGAACGTTGAGGCGCGTCGTTTCAGCGTGCTTGGCGGGCATGGGAATGGACCAGCCGGATTCTTCGGGGATACCAAAGAGGCTTTGGGTGCGCTCGTACTCCTTTCGTATTGCTTTCGAGGATGATCGGGTCATGCTCATCCGCAAGTGGTGTTTGTCCATGGAGGTGCCTGTCATTGTCATGATGTTGTCCAACACCGCAAGAGCTTCCATGCAAAACTCAGTCTGGAGCAATCTCAGCAGGGGCGAGATCAAATCCGGACCACGAGAAGCGATCTCGGGCTTCTTCATGTCGATATCTGGGATCATGACGCACAGGATACGCATAGTCTTCAACTTGAACCACGGGATGCTGTTCGTGAGAAACCCCATCAAGAACGTAAGGCTGCCAAAGTCCCATCGAGGAAAGAAAGATTCGCGGATAGCTGAGACGAGCTGAGCCAGAAAATCTTTGCTTGAGCGATATCTGCCAGCCGCAAACCCAGTTAGAGCTCTCGATATCGTTTTGCAACCCTGGGCTTCAGCAACCTCTGCTAGTATCCCAGCACTCTTGGCAATCTCGGTGTCAATCGTAGCCTGATCCATGGCATGAAGGAGCCTTGGAAAGTTGGCCAGTACAGCAAATAGCAACCGGCTATCGTCACCGATCAAGTCGTCATTAGGCAGCTGAACGAGCTTGTTCAATGTCTTCAGTGTTAAGTCAAGACACACAGATGACCGAAGGCCTTTGTGCACTAATTGCTGCAGACCCTCGAAAGCACCTTCCCATCTGAGAGGACGCCCTTCAGCGAGAAGTTGTCGAACATTCGAGTCGCTTAAGTCAAGCTTGACGACAAGCTCTTCTAACATGTTGAGGGCCTCCAAGAATTCCCTTTCGTTGATGGTATCCAAGCAAGCGCAGGTAGTCCAGAACAGTTGCGGGAATGTCATGAGATCTCCAGTCTCCAATTTGCAGATCAAAGTTTTTAGTGTGGTCAGGATCTCCATCGAGAATGTCTGGACGTCAGAATCCTCATCCGCGATCGTGTTCGAAAGTCGCGCAAGCATGTCTGCAAGCATAGGCTGATCCAATGAGGTGAGAATGCATCGGAAGATTTGAAATGATCGACAGGCCAAATGTCTCACGGGACAGGAGGTTGCCCAAGTCAAGGACAATTTCCCCCATTGTTCCTGAATCCCAGGATATGTGACTTCAAAATATTTGACGACTTCTGTCGTGAGAAGCTCCATTCCAGAAGGAACCTTGTTATCTTGATCGTCGACTTTTCCGTTGTTGTCTTCGTACATCCAGACAACCTTAGGATCATGACGCCGGATGGACTCGATGAAGTCCTCTATGGATTTCTTTGATGGCGTGGTGATTGCGTCGTTGATTCGAGATATGACCAACTCATGAATCAGATGGATTAGCATTTCGCGAGCTTGTTCTTGTACCAGCGGAATATAATGGTCCCATAGTACAGTGACGACTTGAAGGAGCAAAGGGACATTTTCCGCAACAAGCTGAACGGGAGAAACCATCAGATCTACCAGCAGGATCAGAGAAAGTTGGCCAAGTGAGAACCCAGCTTGTTTTGCTCCAATCGGTAGAGCTTCTGACAACTCGGCGATGTACGGCAATTTGCCAATATCTGGAGGTGGCGGACTGAGTTCGCGCTTCTCATTCGGTATCATAGCCTTGGGTGTGATCTGCATCAGAAGAAACTCCACCACCTTAACACCGGCAGGCGTACTAGACAAGAAAACGACAATTTGCTTCGCAAATTCAACGAAGTTCTGCTCACGTCGGTCGAGGCAAAGCGACATGATGAAGTCTAGCACGAGCTGGACGTTGCCAGCATGAGGCCCAGTCGCAAGAGCTTGCCACAGAGCCTGGACTTCATTATGTAGCGGACTGCTTGATTTGACCGTGATCTCGAAAAGGTTTGTTAGTAGCATGTATGACTGAGCCGTCGGTCCTCCATTCGGATCAATCTGCAATTCAATGATCTGGATCCATGGTAATATGGCAGCCACCATGTTTCGTTGCGAACCTGGTGGCAATTGATTGAAGTAGGCCGTCAACTCGGAGAATATGATGAAGGCGAGCTCGGTATGTTGTTTCGATAGGCGTTTCGATATTTCAAACTGTGCGAGCTTGTACACAGCTTTCGTCTTGTCAGATATGCTGATATCGTAGTCCTGGATCTTGGAGCTCTTCGACTGCCTCTCCTCGAGTACCCGCAGCATGTGGGCGGCCTGGGATCGCATTTCGCTTTGCTCGCTGCCGAGAGTGAAGAGCCCGCAGCTCAGTAGCTTCCAGAATGGCATGAGGTAGTCTGGATGATTTAGTACGACTTGGCTCACTACATCAAAGTAGCTCCCAAGCACCTTCGTATGCTCTGCAAGGTAGCATCGGGAGATGGAGTGCTCGAGCAAGTATGGGAAGTCCTTGTTATGCACGATCAAGTTCGTGAGTGCTCTTCTTCCAATCACGTGCACTCGGTCGCTTCCCGAACTGAAGATGGTGTCGATCCAGGACAACATGCGTCGTATATCGAATTGAAGATTTGCTCGGCTCTCGGTGGTGATGCTGACTGGCCCTCCGCACAAAGCAGCCATTGCACTAAGCGCGGCGGTGCGGAGATTCCGTTTCTCGATTTCCATTGCAGCAGTTACTGTACCCCGCTCACCTAGTGATTGTTGGTCAATCATCGACTGCCTCATGCTATCTTCTCGTTGACGGATTTGGGGCTGATTAGGCGAGTAGCCGCACCAGTCTTCCATCAGGGCAAACGACGACTTTCTTGATTCAAAAGTCATCCATCGTGAAGGATCTTTTGTCAAATTGATGCCCTCAAACAATTCTTCCATTAGGCCACAATAGTGCCGACGGAGCTTCTGAAATTCCCAGTCCATCTGGACTTCGCCGTCCATGAGAAACAATTTGAGGTCTTTGGTGTAGGCGACGAGGTTGTTCAAAATCCAATCATCTGAATGGATCTCGGGTTCCTTCAAAAAATGCGATGTAAGCCTGTAGACGTGGGTGACCTCAGTCCGCAACAAGTCCGTTCTTCTATTCCTCCTCGGGCTGCTCACGCTGCGCTGATGGATGCGAGCTCTCGCTTCATCATTACATCGACTGACAGCACTTTGTAACTCTTCGAGAAGAGTTTTGTAGATATTAACATTAATGGATCCAAGAGCCACGACGACGGCATCTCGTATCGATGCCGGATTGACCGGAAGGAGAGGAATGATGTACTTGAACAGTGATCGAGCGGAGGTGATTTTTTCTTGAGCTTGACTTTGTTTCGATGCTTTTCGTAGGTGGGCATCCGCTTGGGACGATGACTGCTGCTGGCCACCTTTGTCCGAGAGCGTTGTACACGCAACAATTAGGTACATTTTCCACTGCTCAATTAGAACTTCTGGAGGTGTGGTAGAGGACCTTGACAGAAGGCGACCGCTGCCAGTCTCAAATCGATCGAAGGAGCCGTACTGCGGCCCTCTCGTCACTTCGGACAACGCCACAATGCCTCTGTACATCTGCAGGATTCGGTTGCAAATCAGTTCCCGGGCAAGTGTGACTGCAAAGGGACAGCGGTCATAGCTGATCCGGATCAAGTTTGGAAAAATCTTGAACCACAGAGTCGCGTCGTAAGAGACTTCACTACTGCACAAGTCGATGAGAGCACTTTGTGAATTGCTCTTTCGCATCCCTCGCTGCAGTCTACTGCGCTCTGCAACAGACAGGTGCTCATCGTTAAAGTCCATGACACGCAGCGAGTCAGCCTCTAGAATGTGGATGAGGCGACCATTGTCTTTGCCAAGAGCTGTATCGAACTCGGTGATCAGCCGAAGAACAGTGACGGCAAAGGTCCGCACCATCCTTGATTGAGAGCATAGAAAGAACAAGCCATGGGATTCCACCTCATCGACGTGAGCCCAGATACCCGAAAGATCTAATTGCACACCACGCTTGTCTGCGCTTCCATCTTCAGATACATCAGTAGAGACATCTTGGATCTTTTGCTTTATCTCATCGATCCAAATATGCAGGAGCTCGACGTATAGCTTGAGCGTGCTCTCAATGTGGCCGGGTCCAAGCATACCGCCATCAGACATGGTCGAGTATCTGTCATCAAAATTGAAAATGAAGCGAGCAAAGCCGATTGTTACCTGCTGAGCATGAGATTGCCGCGCAATTGACTTCAGTGACTGGGCGGAGGATTCTGCGATGTTGTATTGTACATGTGCCGTCCCTGTGCAGAGCAGGTTGACTAAGGAGTTGAAGGGGATATGAGAGGAAAGACAGCGCGGAAGAGCTTGTACAGCAACATGGAGCAGTTCGTAGTACCCTTGCTTTTGGTCGGAAGGGCTTTGGTGGTCGTCGCGACGAGCAAAGTTGAAGCTCTCGGCTAGGGGCGTTTTTGGCGTCGGACTGTTGAACTTCTCATCCAAGACAGCCTGGCCTCCAAAAGTGTTATCACAGATGATCGTGATCTTGCCCAAGATCTCACAGAACTTCGAGTAGTATTCCTTGGCAACCTCACTAAGGGCAGTTGTCAAAACTGGACGTGACAATCGGTCTTCCGAGCTTCGAACACCGGTAGGGGGTGGGGAAGGACTTCGGGGAGTATTCAAGATCGGCGATGTTGGAGCCCTGTCCCAAGCTGGCAAAGTTTGGTATTGCTGGGGGAATGGTGGCCGTCCTTGCTCTCCCTTTTCCAAATCAGCCATGATAGTAAGAAACGCTCTGATACCGATGACCATTTTTTCAGGCTCTAATTGTTCAACCTTCAGCTCCCGGCCTGATGCAAAAAGATCCGCGTTGATCAGAGGGAAGACTATGGTCCGGAGACAGAAATCTTGGTGCTTAAAGCCAATTATACGTATGATCTGGATTAAGGGCTCGGCAATTGCTGGGTCGGTGGTTAAGTATGTTCTCTTCCCCGGCGGGATCACAAGTTTGACAACCTCTTCCAGCTTTTTGATGGTAGCGTTGAGAGAATCCGACGTGCGGTAAAGATACGTCCAGAGTAATCTTGAGATAACTTGCAAACACACGGGTCTGCAAGAGCGATCTTTCATTTTTGGTTGCAACGGGAGGATTAGCTGCAACCAATGCGCCGAGAAAACTTCAACGGGAGAGACACAGAGCAGTGTGGCTGTCAGCGGAAAAGAAATGCCCCAATGTCTCGGCTTGACAAACATGGATGCCAGGCGAGGCGCTATCGTCCCGAGGACTTCGGACCATTTAGGCATATTCAGCTCTGTGTTGGCTTTAGCGGCTATCGGCAGTAGAAGTATTTCGAGGGCCTGACAATAGGCATATTTCAGTCGCTGACCGGAGGAGCGAGCAAAAAAACGCCCCAGAGAGATCATGAAATCGCAAGACTGATCCCAAGCATCTTCTGGATACACTTTGATACGGAGATGCTTCATGCCGCCAAGCACCAGCTCCATTCTTCCCTCTACCTCTCGATTTGCTGGGCCTTTCCCAATCATGTCCCTCTGTGACTTTTCTAGATCCGCAATGAACCTGTCTGCAACGCTGTCGAAGTTGATCTCGCTCATGACACCCAAAAGCTGACTGAAAAGATACCAGTTGGCCATCTTTAAGGGTGAGCTGTTGAGTTGATCGACATCCGCAATCTTGAGTTGTCCAAAGATGATGCCTTCCAATTTCTCTTCCATTTCTGGGGTGATACAAGTCAATGTACTTTGGCCAATCACTTCCATCAGGACTCGACATAGTATATAGATGGAGGCTGTGGAACGACGTTCGGCCTGGGCAACGAATTCTTGACGGGCGGCAATGGTAGGTTGATTGGGTGCGGGTACCTCATCTAGTAAATTGTTGGATGGTTCTGTGTTCCGCCGGGCTATATGACCTGGCTGTACGTAGTTCCTTATTAACTAAGGGACAATGAGCATTTGTAGTACACATGCAGGACTTTGCTGGTGCACCTACCTGCTGTAACTGGACCCGAGCTTCACTGGCGGCATCACTCTTGGTCTTACGCCACAGCATCATGGAATCAATCAAAGGTTTAGGTTTTTGGCTTGAAATGTGGCCCAGAGCCGAAATTAACTGATCGAATGTCGGGTCTACACCAGGTCCGCATATTTGTTCTATCTGAGGTTCAGGGTCTAAGGGGATAGTGATGCATTGACTGATTTTCTCTTCGGCTTGGGCAATGAACTGACACGGGCGTTACTAAAGAGTCTGGGAATGGGCATGTGTTGAGAAAACTAACTGATGTAAACAGCACATGTAAAGCATATTCGCCAACTGTCTTGAGTTCCTCTTTGTGGTGGTGCCGTGAGCCTGAATGGTGATGCCGATGTTCCCTGCTACTCTTGCTACTCCGGCCGCTATGCATGCGTTCCACCCTCCTCTGTGTAGAATGGTAGTTTCCATTTTCCATCGCGGATGCTGCTCGCTCAGGCACTATGGTCGAGGTCGAGGAGCTGAAGGACGAGCCACCGGCCATGCCAGCCAAGCTGGTACTGAAAGATGTGTCGCCCATGATGGATGCATCAGTCCCGGCGGCAATGATCATCTGCGGGCTCAGCGGACTGGACGCGCTTGCGAAGCTCCCATTCCTCGAATGCTGTATGCCATGGACGATGCTCGTCTGCCTATGGTGGGCCTTGGATTCGGTGGTCAGGCCTCCTCTGTTGCCGGAGGGTACTCGCGGGGAGAGATTGAGCTGTGATTGGGGATCGGAGGGAGGATTTCTTGCGGCGAGGGAGGCCGGCGAGGTTTGGAGGGGAGGAGGCTGTCGATTTTCAGGGTAGAATCTGGAGATGGTCGGCGTTGAGGAGGGTTTCAGGACCTGGGTCGTGCTCCAAAGGTCGAGGTCGATGGGAGCCGACTCGTTTGTCTGTCTCTCGCTCAGGCTGTCCGATGCCTGAGCTTGAGCTTGACCTTGACCTTTCGAGACGGGGAGTTAGCAAGGGATGGATAATTTGGTAGATGGATGGATGGATGGATGGATGGATGGATGGATGGATGAAAATGGTCCGAGGGGGTCCAACAATCTCAATTGTTTCGAGAGGTGTTTTGCGGTTTGCGATTTGCGCTTTCCCCGTCCAAATCCCTAGCTAGTATGCTTCAAACGAAATCAAACGATGGCGGGTAGTTAACCAGCTTGGACCAGCGCCAACTTACCAATCTCAGGAGCACTCATGGTCAGACTTTTTTTTTTTTTTTTTTTTTTTTTTTATATCCTCAAGTCAAGTCGAGTCAAGTTCGTACCGCACTGCACCGCCGTACCAAACCAGGCACGTGCCAGGGGTAAAAGGGTGCGTTGCGATGCAAGCAAGCAAGGCACGGCATCTATCCAGTCGACGTTGTGATTGTGGCCGGCATTGCATGGAGGGGAGAGGAAGGATCTCTCCCTGTGCTTTGTGTAGGTTAGGGGCCGTGAGGAGGTGGGTAGGCAGAGAGGGTGGTGAAGCGTGGAGTACGTAGTACAGCAGATCCAGGGCAGATCAAAGGTAGTAGTGGTCAGTAAGAAAGGTAAAAGGAAGTTTGTTAGGTAAGTAATAAGGTACGAATAGGGTAAAGGATAGGAGATAGGGACTCGTATCCGTAAGATATGACATGATGATTCTCAGCGCAATTAATATAGAAGCTCCTACCTACCTGCTCACCTATGTGACAAAGGGTAACTGTGTGATTGTTTTCCGCACCTGCATACCGGTACCTATTGAGATGGAGATTGAGCTGAGCTGAACTGGAGCTGAGCTGGAGCTGAGCTGGAGCTACTATCGGCTCGGATGCCCACCTACCGATACCCAGGTAAGTACCGAAGAAGACTTGGTCAAGAAGGTCAGAGAAGGAAAGCGAAAAAGTATGCTCTGTTGGGTTGCCCGTTGTTATATACCGGTACCGGTACCGGTACCGGTACAATACAACGTATACCGGTATGGCGCAAGCTACACGACACTACCAGCTAGACCTGTTAGAACCTACCTAATGCTACCGCTATACAATCTATACCGGTACAACCTCCGTCTGCACATGTGTACATACCTACATGCCGACGTATACCTAGGTACCTCCGAGGCTCTCCGAAACGACCAAGTAGAAACACGCCGGCAGTGAAACTTCCAAAACGCTTCTCTCACTCCGAATGAAGGCGAGGAAACAAGCCGTCACATACCGTACCGGTACAGCACCTCGCTGTGGTTCGTTATCTAGGCCGTGGGCTCTCGTCTTCCTTCCTCAGCTCGTATCCTCGTATCCTCGTATCGTCGTGTCCTCGTATCCTCGTGTCTTCGTGTCCTCGTATCCTCCTCTCTTGGAGATCACCTTACTGTAGGTACTTGCTGATATGTAGATACTTGCTGATATGTACCTAGATACTTGTTGATATATACCAGTATCTGCCGGTAGCCCGATGTCATTTTATTGGCTCTGCGACACGACAAGAAAGTTACCCAGCCCCCATGTGGGGGAAATGCGGGGAGGAGGGGGGGCG